TATAAGTGACTTGTACAGCTTCTGGACCCACATGTTCTAACTTGTACTGGGCTGCTATTTAGAATGCAGGTGTTAATTACCTACTTAACAAATCGTAGCTATTTACTTCCAACAGTAAATACAACTTAGTTTCTCCCAATTAAACTGTTTTTCCTGCTGTCTAGGGTTCCAAACCTCTATGACTTTCCTCTCCTTTGCAAATAACATTAAATTTACTTTTGAAGGGAATGTATGTAATCGCTCTTTGAGTGTTCTTAGCTCTACCTCTCATTAAGGCCTAGACCCTTCCATTGAATAATACAAGCTGACTGCATTAGTTTCCTAGGGTTTCTGTAACAAAACACCACAAACTGGGCAGCTTGAAACAACAAAAATTTATTCTCTCACAGTTCCGGAGGCTGGAAGTCTGAAACCAAGGTGTCTGCAGGGCCATGCTCCCTCTGAAGGCTCTAAAGAAGAATCCTTCATTACCTCTCCCTAGCTTCTGGTGGTTGCTGTCAGTTCTTGGAATTCCTTGGCTTATAGCTGCACCACCCTAATCTCTGCCTCCACTGTGACATGACCGTCTTCTCTGTGTGTGTGTCTGTGTGTCTCTCAAGGCCTTCTTATGAGGACATCAGCCATTGGATTTAGGGCTCACCCTAATTGAATGTGGCTTCATCTTAACTAATTACATCTGCAAAGACTCTATTTCCAAACAAAGTCACCTTCTGAGATTCTGGGTGGACATGAATTTGAGGGGACACTATTCAAAGGACTAGACATTTATTGCTACCAAACTTAGTGAAATCAGTCAGCAACATCCACAGAAATTAGCTAAATGACAATTTCATAGGAAAGAATGCACTAACTTCAAACAGGAAGTTGTAAAAATCAAGTTCTTCTACCTCGAACATTATATACTAGTTAATAATTCTGCCCCAAACCCTAGTCTATTTGAAAAAAATGTACTTGGTTATCATAAAAATACTGGCATTGATATAGAATTGTATAACCTCCAACACACTTTCACGTTCAGTATATAATTTCATCATTGCTACAACCTAGTAATGTGAATGAAATTGTCATGATGCCCCAGTCTATGCATGAAGAAACTGAGGCTCCATGTCTTGACTTGGGTCATTATTAATGCAGACCCAGGAAAAAGGTCAAGTCATCTGACTCCTAATCCACCATTCTTTCTACTACCAAGTTAAATTGTATTGTGTGAAAGCATTTAAAGCAATGGCTGTCAACCCCAGGCTGGGAGAGGAGGTCTGGGTGGGATTAGAGACCACTTCAGCATCGTCTGCAAGACTTTTTTCTAGCTAACTACACCTACCCACCCCAGAACCTTTGAACAATGTTGAAAAACCCCACAAGGCCTAACAACCCACTCCTGTTTCCATAACTGAGACCCATTGGTTAAAAATCTATGGAAGAGCTTCCCAAGATAATTTCTTTTTTAATGGTGTGAATTTGTGTCTGAGGTCAGAGCTTCTCAGACTTAAATGTGCATATGAATCACTTGGGAATCTGGTGCAAACATATTCTGATTCAGTGGGCCTGGGATGGGACCTGAGATTCTGCATTTCTGATAAGCTCCCAGGTGATGCTTCTGCTTCGAGGACCAGATTTTGATTGACAAGGCTTTAAGTAGCGTTCATGATAGAACCCAGGAGCGACTCTATACCGATAGCAGAACGTGTCTATGTGATTGTAGATAATGTCCACATCAGACAGCTCCTCAGTCCCTTATAAGTACGCAAGTGCCTGAGCCCATTCAGATCATGGGTCTCCAATTGTTGCTGTCAAAACAAGCCAAACAGGATTCCATTAAAGCCCCTTGTTGGTGATGCTTGGCTTCATGCCGTGAAGAACACCTGTCACCCATGCAACAGAAGCGCCAGCGAGCTGCTGCTGCTCCCTGGCCCTGGGACAGCACAGCAGCCTGCCCCTAAGAGCAGATGCAAAGTGATCTCGCAAGTTTTCTGCAGTCATGGCTGGATCTGGCTCCCATCTAACTTTTCCCTTGGCAGAGCTGCTTCGTTTCAGCGTGACCCTCACATGTCTTCTGTTTTCTGGCATTCTATAATGTAGTCTTAATGAGGTTGACCCCAAAAGGTACTTTTCAGAAGAGGTTTACTGCAGAGACTCATTAAAAGGAAAAAATAATGATTCCATTACGGCTTTTGTTTTTTTCTTTCTTTGAAGCTGCTGGAACACGGTCTTTAGATATGGGGATAATGGTGGAAATAAATCCTTGCAATTCTCTGTTAATGGTGATGGATGAGCTGATGAGGCCGACTAGGTATCCAAGGAACAAAGCCAGTTTTTAATGGCACTTTAATTCTGGAAATTTAGAAGACTTCCTTGCAGAAATTGGAAGTTGGAGTGGGTGAGAAATAGTTCAAAAAATGAGCCTGCTTTCAGGGAATAGCTAGTATAAATGGATTCTTAAACTAGTCTTCACCCTGTGTGATTTCAGAATGTACACTTAAGGCAAAATTTTATAAAAGAAAATAGTTCTGGCAAATAATACAGTGTGTGTCTCATAATGTTTTCATGTACCAATAAACCATTGTTTAACACTATGAGAGAAATTTCTCTATTTCTATTTTGAAACCTGAAGTTCTTATTAGAATTTTTTTAATATGAGGAAATATTATTTTCAAAGATAAATGATGATTTAGGTCAAGGATTACTCTGAGTTCTCTACCTGTATAAGATAATCATAGAGATTTGTTGAGGCTACTCAGTCTTCCTGGTAAACTTAGTCATAAACAGAGGAGGGTCCTAGACTCTCCATCTCCATAGCAAGTAAGGTTGAGATTCCACCTCATAAATATTTTTATAACCTATTCCCTCCTTCCCCTTTTCTACTGCCATTGCAGTGGAAACTTCTTGTCTTCAGTTGCACCCCTACCCCAATCAGTCCCACACCTCGTAGTTAATGATCTTTCTAAAATGCAAATCTGAGCATGCCCTTCCCTTGCTTAAAATCCATCTGTGGCTTTTACTCCTTACAGCAGTGTCCTCAAACTTTAGCAGGCATCACAATCGCTGAGGACTTGTTAAAACACAGATTGCTGGGCCTCTCTCCAGTTTTTCATTCAGTAGGTATGGAGTGGGCCCTGAGAATTTGCATTCCTAACAAGTTACCACACCATGCCAATGCTGCTGGTCTGGGGACCACACTTTGAGGAAAACTGGTCTTCAGAAGGAAGCCCACCGAACTCTTCATCAATGCGTCGCGCGCCCTTCAGAATTTGTCCACTGCCTAACTTCCCAGAAGTGTCCCACCCTCACTCATCTCAGCCTCCTCCTGCATCCAATCGCACCATACTACTCGGTTCTTTGAAACCAGGGCTGTCTCAAGGTTGTGAAAGTTGTGCACTGCACAAATGATGGAGGCATCATTCACGTTCTGATCTCTTTATTGGTACCCTCTGGAGGTGACCAGTGACAGCCTTCTATGCAGCAGCCCTGAAATCACCATCGACTCCTCCATGCCATGCCTCCTTATGGATGCCCGCGGTCATATGAAATTACTTGGAACTTTCTGAGCAAATCATGTTTTGGGCTATGACGCCTCTTGGCCTGTAGTACCATTTATCCTCTTTTCTATGTGGAAACATCTACCCATCCTTTAAGGCCTCCATCTGAAAAAGAAGAATTATAATTCCAACTGCCCTTAGAGCAAAGGAAACATTTTTCCAACAGGAAAATGAAGAATGTTATAGAATCTGGATGGAGCTGTAAATACTATAGTGTTCAAAACACTCTAAGTGTTAAAAATCTGTTTTTTCTCCCTCAGGTTTTCATGAATTATCTTTGCAAAGAACTAGAAAATTGATAAGAACGATTTTAAGGGAGGGAAGCTTCTTTCCATTTTCTTATTTTGTTCTAGGTCTGCACATATCTAAGATATGTATTTATATAGACATGGTATTTTAACAAATTACGCTTCTAAATGAACATTAAATGGTATATGCAACATTCTTAACTTTACACTTTATGAAGGTTTTTATTACTTTTCTGTGATGCTTTACTTTTGCTTGCATGGAACAGTGATGTGTGTGTGTGTGTGTGTATTTGTGTGTATGTGGATGTGTGTATTTTTTAATGGATAGCCTACATTATTAATTCTTATCAGTAGATTAACATTCCATTGCACAAACCTGAATCTACCCAGATCTATACGTGGAGCTATCACTTCATTCACCGGTTGGATTAACTGGACACTCCAAATCATACTCAGCAAAAAATGTGATATAGAATGAATACAGCACTTTTCTTTAAGAAAGTGTATCCTTCTGTGAAAGTGAAGCACAAAGCTAATATATAGTCAAAAGCAGCTTCTCAAAGAAAAAGGTAAAAAAAAAAAGCAATCTGTTCAGCATAATGAAAAAAAAGGATTAATAAAAAGTATAGAGCTTAAACCTAGGAAAAGATTATGTTGCTGAACTTGTAAAGCTGGTCTGTTATCGCAAAATGGGCTATTTGTAACATGAATTTCTATTGTTAAAAAAATGCTATTGCTAGTTAAAGCTTTTAGGCTGACTTTGGGCCATACGGAAGCAACAGAAAATGACTAAAAACCTGTCTTATTCTTCTTGAGTGATTAGAAAATATTTGATTTCTTCAAGGTCCATTCTCATTTTCTCCAGTTCCGCAGACTTCTCCCTTCTTTTTTGGTTATTCATTTATTCAGAATAGCTTTGTGAAGTGCCTGCTCTGTGTTAGGCACTGTAAGAAATTCTATAGAAACTAGGTAGTCATTGCCTTCCATAACTCTCAAATTCTATTTGAGATGCAAAACTCTCTCTTATGAAATTGTCAAAGGATTATTTTAAAAAGTCGTAAGGTTTTATGGTTGTAAGAGAACCTGATCAAAACTCTGGCCAACTTAAGCTAAAAGGCAGGAGAGGGAGAGAGAACTTACGGAAGGAAGGTACCGTTCCAAGGCAGAAACTGAGACTCCCCGTAATGCAAGCTTGTCACTCCTCCCTCTGCCAGTAATGTCACTCCATCCCAGCATCTCCGAATCTCCAAGTCTCTCAGTTCAAACTTCAGATTTCCAGGAGGAAGAGAATCTGATCGGGCCAGCCTGGAGCAAGGATTGTCCCCTGGATCAACACACCGAGGAGGTAAGGTTGCCAGATCAAATGCAGAATGCCTAGTGAATTTCATATACACAACAAATACTTTTTCAGTATAGGTATGACCTACACAAAAATTTGATTCAAACAGAACTGGGCATCCTGTATTTTTATTTCCTAAATCTGGCAATGCTGCACGGAGGCAGGTCTGAGTATAGGCAAGGCTGCAAAGGGAGACCGCGTGAGTTCAAGTAACCGCAAGAAGTGTTTGTGACACCTTCTGTGCTTTTGGTAAACCCAGAACAAGCATTCAGAGGAGAAAAGCCACTGTCATCTGGAGTGCCAGGGAGGGCTTCCTGGAGAAGTGGCAGGATTTGGGCAGCTGGAGGACAGTGGAGGGAGGGAGTGCCTGATGGGGTGAAGGGGGACGACATGTCCAGGAATCAGTGAGGGTTCCAGCCTGGCTGGAGGGGGCAATTCAAGCCAATTCAACCACCAGAGGTGAGTAATAGGGAAGAAAAACATGAAAGTAGCTGAAAAACACATAAAAGTAAAACAGAGTCTTTAAGAGGGTGTCAAAATCAGAATTAACGACCAATTCCCCACACTGCGTTGGGGATGAATCCAAATGGCGTATAATTAACAAAACATTTATGTATGGTTTTAGAAAATAATGTGTTGATCTCTATTTTCCTTTTGCTGACCTTCCCCAAGTTCACTTCAGCTCAGCTAAGTGGCAGAGGTGGCATCTTAGGAGGTTGGTAGCTGTTAAGAAAAGCCCAACTTAGGGAGTTCTTCTTGATTCATTTGCCCCGAGTAACAGAACCATCTCTCCTTATGGCCCTCCTAATTATGCAAGGCACATGAATATGCTCTCTTTGTAGGATGGTAAAAGACCCACCATCTAGGCATTGGAGTCACACACAGAATGAGGAACTGGATTCTTCTTAGGGCTCAACAGGAATAGATGTATGATTTGGGAAGTTCTCAAATAAGTGTAATAATTAACATTTTTCAGCACTTTTCAACTTGCAAAGGCTATCATGTATTCTATCTTATTTGTTCTTGTATTAGAGTTCTCCAGAGAAACTGAACTAGTAGAATATATATATATATTTATATATACACATATACATATACATAAAATAGATAGATAGGGGTGTGTGTGTGTGTGTGTGTGTGTGTGTGGAGAGAGAGATTGAGAGAAAGAGAGACATTAAGGAATTGGCCCACACAATTGTGAGGACTGACAAGTCTGAAATCCATAGGGCAAGACAGCAGGCTGGAAATTCAGGTAAGAGCTGATCTTACAGTCTTGAAGCAGAATTGCTTCTTCTTTGAGAAACTTGTCTTCATTCTTTAGACTTTCAACTCTTGGATGAGGCCCACCCACATTATGGAGGTGATCTGCCTTACTCGAAGTCTACTGATTTAAAGGTTAATCCCATCTAAAAAATACCTTCACAATAACTTCTAGACTGATGTTTGATCAAACAACTGGGCACCACAGCCTATCCAAGTTGGCACATAAAATTAACCATTACGTGGGGCCAGCCCGGTGGTGCAGTGGTTAAGTGCATGCACTCTGCTTCCGCAGCCCAGGGTTCACAGGTTCAGATCCCAGGCACACACTGGCACACCACTTGTCAAGCCATGCTGTCGCAGTGTCCCATATAAAGTAGAGGAAGATGGGCACAGATGTTAGCTCAGTGCCAATCTTTCTCAGCGCAAAAAAAAAAAGAGAGAGGAGGAGTGCCATCAGATGTTAGCTCTGGGCTAATCTTCCTCACCAAAAAAAAAAAAGTGAAAAAAAAATTAACCATCACAGTCTTCCAAACAATGTTATATAGGTAAGCAAAACAAGTATTTATTTTCCACATTTTCTATACGGGAACACTGAGTCCCAGAAAAACTAATTATGGTGCCCAAGGTCACAAAGCTAATCAAGTATGTCAGAATCAGGATTCAAACTCAGATCTTTCAGCTATAAGTCCCATATTACTACCACCCCTCCCCGCACCAGGCACTTACAAGTCTCCTTGAATCTTCATTTCCTTATCTATAAAGTGAGGAATGGAGTATTTCAAAGATTCCTTCTAAATTGAGTGTTCTATGATTTTTTTTTATAGTCTAGGTATCAAGTTGAATGAAATCCTGTTGAAAGGATGCACTCCACTCATTCTCATCTTGTGTCCTTCCCCCCAAATCCATCATTCACACACTAAAGAGAAGAGCCTAACCAGTTATGTTGTGCTTTCTTGAGAGGGAGAGTAAGCAGTCTAAGAGGAGAGCCGTGGTCCCTGCCCTTCAGGGGCTAGTAGAAGCAGTGATGTTTGTGTTCTGCCAAGCTTCGCCAGTCTTCATTTTCACTCTCTGGCTCCTGAAGACTTCCATAAGAACAAATTACCTAAAAAGAGGTTGTCTGGTCATTGGAGTGGGTGTAAGATTAAAGGTATTGCCACCTCACTGTTGCTCCTTTCTTTGCAGAGTTACTCGGAGTAATATTAAAGTTCCCTTCACCAGCCTTCTACCTAATGACTTGCTTCCTAAAATCTAATCTTTTAAAATACAGAAATATATCATGGAAAGTGAAACAAAGCTTATTTCAGGAGATACCAAGAAAATATCAAAACAGTGTCCTTAGTTATAAGATAACCAAAAACTCTCCTCTCAAAGAATTTGGTTGTGTATGTGAGAATAAAAAAACTAAAAGAAGAATTTGAGAGTATGTAGAACTGGGTTGCTTCTCAAGACCCTACCACAGTCCAGAGGAAAGGCATTATGCAGGCTTATAGCTGACATCAACTTGTGCGAGGATGACTTTTGAAACCCCTCATTCAACAGCCCAGAAATGGGGGGGAAGAATTGAATTCCTGGGTTCCTGTTATCCACAGGGCCGAAATAATTAAAAATCAACTGAACCTTTCAGTGAAGCTCATTCTTTGCACGACTCAGTGGTGTTAGCACAAAAGGGATTCATATTTGCATATGCAGATCAGCTGAGAGCACTTAAGCACGGAATCTCTTTTGTCCTGGGAGAGCCAAGGGAACATTTGGGGAAGAAAGAGCTAGTAGTCAACCAAGGGCCACCAGCCTTGGAGGAGAGCACCGTTCAAGGAATATGAGATGCTAGAACTGCAAACAGTCATAGATGGTTCTTCCTTTGGTGCAAATTAAAGGATTTACTTTCTGGTTTGTCACATCCAGTAGTCTTCTGGGAAACAGCTAGAAATTGAAGTTGGGTGGATGAAAATCATGATATTCTTACCAATTCCTCACTTCTTCCCTCAACAACTGGTTTAGCCTTTGGTTCATAGGCTCACATGTTTGAAGAAGAAATGCCCATGTGATTTGTCCTTTTTCTGAAAGTGGGAAATTATTCATGTTTCTCATAATGCTTGTCACAGGTCTTTTCCTCCCTGTCAACTTAAGTAAGTTGATTCTCTCCTGAAAATTCTTATCACCATGATTTCCTATGTTGTTTTCTATTGCTGATCAGCTTTTTAAAAAATGTATATCCCACTAAGAAGATAAAACAGGAGTGCTATGTAGTTAAGAGCTTATAACTCACTCACCTTCACCCCTCAGCATATATCTGTGAAGGAAGGAAGAAGAGGTTAGGGGAGAGGAGAGAGAGAAGGTACCTGCAGAGGGCTTCAGTGCCAGGCACAGGAGTTCCGGTGTGTTCTGGTGGAGTGTCGAGTGTCAGCGAATATAAAGCAGAGTATCACACGGGAGGCCCAAGCTAGAAAACTTTCTGCATATTTTAAGACTCAGGTAGGTCAAGTTCATCTGAAGCAACCTCAGCCCAACTCTTTTTTTTTTAATTGAGATATAGTTGATGTATACATCAACTAATACATGTATTAGTTGCAGATCTACAACATAGTGATTTGATACATGTATATATTGCCCAACGATCATCCATCACCACACAGTTACGAATTTTTTTTCTTGTGATGAGAACTTTTAAGATCTACTCTCTTAGCAACTTTAAGTATACAATACAGTGTTATTAACTAAAGTCGCCATGCTGTATATTATGCCCCCAGGACTTCTTTTTTTTTTTTTTTTTGGTGAGGAAGACTAGCCCTGAGCTAACATCCATGCCAATCCTCCTCTTTTTTCCGAGGAAGATTGGCCCTGGGCTATTATCCATGCCCATCTTCCTCTACTTTATATGGGACGCCTCCACAGCATGGCTTGCCGAGCAGTGTGTCGGTGCGTACCTGGGATCCAAACCTGCGAACCCCGGGCCGCCGCAGCAGAGCGTGCGCACTTAACTGCTGCGCCACCGGGCCAGCCCCGGGACTTATTTCTTTTATAACCAGAAGTTTCTACCTTTGACCACCCTCACCAATTTCACCCACTCCCCACCCGACCACAGTCCAACTCTGAACTATTGGCAAACAAGATGGTTCAGTCCGAAGGCAAATAAGTTCCAGTTGTCTGGGTTTGGCTGCAAACCACTGCTTAGGTGAGAGAATGTGTTTAAAATATGAACATGAAATCGATTTACAATTGTATTTAAATGAGGGAGAGACAGTTTGTCTTCTTTGTTTCCTCCCAATGTTGGCCAAAGGCTTTTTCCAGACACATTTCCAGCATTTTTTACCCTCATTCCACTTTACATTTTATAGGATGCCTCATGCACATGAGCTGGTTTGATCCCTAACAACCCGCTGAGGCAGGCGAGGCAAATGTGAGGCACCTCATTTTACAGATGAGGGAACCCAGGCTTGGAGAGGGAACTGGCTTGTCCACACAGCCAGCAGAGGTAGAGCCATGTGTGTTAATTCCTTGTTCTGTGTTCTTTCCACCAAAATACCCATTATCTTCAAAGGATCTTCAACAAGTTGTTAAATTGAGGCAAGTCTCCAATTGCCTTACTTCCTCTCACAAACAGAAATCGATGCAACCAACTTTTGGTACCTATTCATGCGAGTGCTGGGAGTCCTGTTCGTAACTCCGTGTGATCCTGTGAATGTCTGTGTCTAAGTGAAGAACAAAATCATTATCCAGGCGATTCAAAAGGGAAGAAAGGTTTATCCACAAAGAACGTCTCTTCCCAGTAACTAAATACTTGAAACATACACAATGCGCTATTTTTCAAAGCCTTCTCATTTGAATTGTTTACTTCTTAACAACAAAGTTGTATTTTGTCCATTCACCCAAAGTGACAGGATCAGCTGTGGCTTGTCCTTGGTTGGATTTGCAGACACAACTGGAATTGGCAAAATGTTTTAGTTTAGAAAGAGAATTGCCAAATGTTAGAGGTTAAAGAACCTTGGAGATGATCTAACCCAAATCGCCAAGGAGGTTGACTGAGATCACAGGGATAATTGTTTGGAATTTTCGCTTCATTTGCCACGTGCAAACATCATTCTATTTGCTAGAGCTGAGAGAAACAGCCATCTCTGGAGGCCAGTTGTTGAAGGCGACAGAATTAAAAAACTAACTTGTGCCTAGTTATAATGAATGAAGCAATACCTAAATGCCATAAGGGTTTGCTGGACTAAAGTAAATATCCCTGTTTAGAATTGGATCCTGTACCTTAAAGCAAAATTTCACATTTGTTATATTTATCATGTTAAAAAAAAAAAAGAAACCTCTACAATAAGACAATAAACTTGCGTTTGGCTTATGGCATCACACATCATCCTTGGTATACATTGAATAATTTGTCTAAGGTGTTGTCTTTCTGGGAGAACGCCAAGCTTCACAAGATGTTGAAAATAAGCCATTCCTTTACTTTGAGAGCAAATGGGTTCTAACAGATTGAATTTGAACATGAGACAGAAAATTATGTGCTTCGATACCTTATGGTTTCTGTAACATGAATGTGGGGTTGCTAACGGCCTAAGTGTTTGGGTTTTTTTCTTTAGTAATTCTTTTTCTTCAAGAATGTATGCCAAATCATGTTGTGCGTGTGCTAAATTTTCGGGTGTTAAAGGTAACCGTATTTATTAAATCGCCATTAACTAGACCATAGATGGCATTAGTACTACACAGTGTTTCCCTGTTTCCCGAAATTAGCTACCGAAGTAAAATGACCTACAATCTAGCTCTGATTATAGAGTCAAGTAAAGCTGAAAGGTCTACCTTGTTGGACCTTCCACATTGTTCTTTGTCGAAAAGCTTGGAAGATAATAGAATGGTTTCATTTGTATTTCTCCTTTTCTCCTTGCTCTTTGAAGTGATAAACATCAATAAAATGCATCCAAAATGGGCAGGTGAAAAGATAAGAAGATATGAAAAATCTAGAATATGGATTATGAGTACAAGAATGATGGCAGCAAGCCCACTACTTAAAATGCCCAATGGTAATTAGCAACTGTGTGACCTCCTAGAAAATACAGAGGGACCTAGTTCCTTATGGTAAGAGCATAAGAGTGCATGGGATCTGACCAGTGCTTCCTAAGGAATATTTCAGTGACAGAATATTGTAAATGTCACCCTGCCATTGGCCTCTGAGGGTAGAGATTCAGGGGGAGCATTCCCGACTTGCCCTTAATAAACCCTCTGCATCCTTTATCCATGGGTTTATCTAAACCTTCTTTCTAACTTTAGCCTTCACAGTCTCTTAGAGTAGATGAAGAGAACTTTAGTTCTATTGTGATTCATTGATCTACATTTTTAAAAGAAATTCTGAAGTATACCCAAGTTAAAAGTACTTAACTTAGTTTTGTTTAAGAAAAAACATAAAACACTAATAATTAAACACTGTTCTTTAAGTTAAGGAACTGTAAGTCTTTATTTAATATCTGCAACACATTCTGAAATACATTGTACTATGGTTTAACTTTATAGCAATTTAAGAGGAAAGATAGGGGCTGGAAGAACAGAAGGAAAAACAAAGAAAGGTATAAAGGAGGCACGAGAGGAGAGGAGAGGAAGGGTGAGGAGAATAACCCAGAAGGAGAGGAACGTAGAAGGATAAAGAGAAGGGGAGAAAAGAAGAACAGAGGAGAGAAGTTCAGAAGTCCTGATGTCAGAGATAAACTAGTTTTCTTGCAGTCTGATGTTTACTGAGCTGTGTGGCCTCAAGATGTTTAATCATTGTCTTTTGAAATGTTTACTAGATGCTGAATCTCTCAAGTAAACAGTCGCTGTCAGGATATTTTTCTCAGAGCTACAAATGATAACTGAGACCAGTGATACCTCCCAAGGTCATTGGCAAAGGTCAGATCAAACCAAGCCAGACCTAACCTAGGTAAGAGAGGTTTCCTGCTTCACCAAGATTCATGTGTTCCAGATGCATGTTCCAGATGCACAGTTTTTACTAAGCAAAGAAGTGCTTCTTTCCATTGCCTTCACACCTTAATCTTTATGCTTTGCCTTTTCAGTCTAGAACACTGGGTTACAGTGAGGAAATCCCTGCTTGGGCTGTCTATATCTGCATGGTTTTACAGATTTCCCACAGACCTGTTCTTGGCTTTTGTCTTTCCAGACTGAAGTCTTGTTCATTTCAGCCTCTAATAATACGAGTATCTTGCATTTATTTAGTGATGTGTGTGTGCCATGTAATCTTCACAACAACCATGAAATAACTATGGTTGTTCTCTTCATTCGAGAGATTTGTAAACTGAGACACAGAGGTTAAATGAGTTGCCCAAGGTCACACAGGGAGCGATGAAGCCAGGCTCAGAGCTCAGAATGTCTGACTCTAAAATCCTGTCACTTGATCCTCTTCTTACTTCTTATCCAGCTCTTCCTCTCTCCTTCCATATCAGACATCACACTGCTAGTCTTCTGCCTAAAATGTCCACCCTGCACCAAGATCATCGTGGACAGTCTTCAAGTTCTTCACAAAACCTTCCTTGACTGAATGAAGTTAGCTTGTAACCTTCCTTTCCCATGATGCTCGTTCTATGAGAAGCATTGTTGTCCTGAGTGTCATATTATCTCTCCATGTGTAGGTCTGCATTCGTGTTTCTAGCTATAGAATAAAACTTCTAGAAATCATAAATTCCTTCTAGCTTATGTAGCATGGATCGGTGATTCACTTCAAGAAACACAAACCAGCGGGTGAAGGGAGAAATTATGTATAACCAAGAGAGGAGAGATCATTACTCCCCCAAAACTATTCCAAATGGTTGTTACTCACACAAACGTGCCAAAGAACAATGGGCGAGGAAGGGAGAGATGGCTTTTTTTCAAATGCTTAGGCCCTGGAATTTAAATGTATACTACATTAGGCTTCTAAGTGAAATTAACTCGTAAAAAGTGAATGTATTTGTATTAGTTAGGGAATTTTTGGTGGTAAAGTTACCTTCTTGGAACCTCTTGAGCAATCCATGCCATTTGAAGAATGGCGACTCCATATGTCTCCTAGCTGCCTAAGCAACTAAGAGGATGTGCTAACTTAGACTTTCTTCTCTATTCCAGATCTTGGCCATCGTGTCTATCCTGTTCATCGTACTCTCCACCATCGCTCTGTCTCTCAACACACTACCAGAGCTGCAGGAAATGGACGAATTTGGACAACCCAATGACAACCCCCAGTTAGCACATGTGGAGGCCGTGTGCATTGCTTGGTTCACCATGGAGTACCTTTTACGGTTCCTATCCTCACCAAATAAGTGGAAGTTCTTTAAAGGCCCACTGAATGTCATTGATTTGCTGGCCATCTTGCCATATTATGTCACCATTTTCCTCACGGAGTCCAACAAGAGCGTGCTGCAGTTCCAAAACGTGAGGCGAGTGGTTCAGATCTTCCGAATCATGCGTATCCTCAGGATCCTGAAACTCGCCAGACATTCGACAGGCCTGCAGTCTCTGGGCTTCACCCTCAGACGGAGTTACAACGAATTGGGCTTGTTGATATTGTTTTTGGCCATGGGGATAATGATATTTTCCAGCCTGGTATTTTTTGCCGAGAAGGATGAAGATGCTACCAAGTTCACCAGTATCCCAGCATCATTTTGGTGGGCCACCATCACCATGACCACAGTAGGGTACGGTGACATTTACCCGAAAACGTTATTAGGGAAAATTGTAGGAGGCCTCTGCTGTATTGCCGGGGTCCTGGTCATTGCCCTTCCCATCCCAATCATTGTGAACAATTTTTCTGAGTTTTACAAGGAGCAGAAACGCCAGGAGAAGGCAATTAAAAGGAGAGAGGCTCTTGAGCGGGCCAAAAGGAATGGAAGCATCGTTTCTATGAACTTAAAAGATGCCTTCGCTCGAAGTATGGAACTGATAGATGTGGCTGTGGAGAAGGCAGGGGAGACAGCCAATACGAAAGACTCGGCGGATGATAATCATGTCTCTCCAAGCCGGTGGAAGTGGGCCAAGAAGGCTCTGTCGGAAACAAGCTCCAACAAGTCTTACGAGAATAAGTACCAGGAAGTTAGCCAAAAAGACTCTCACGAGCAGCTGAACAACACTTCTTCTTCCAGCCCACAGCATCTGAGTGCCCAGAAGCTGGAGATGCTGTACAATGAGATCACCAAGACACAGCCTCACTCTCACCCGAACCCGGACTGCCAAGAGCAGCCCCAGAGGCCATCTGCCTATGAAGAAGAGATTGAAATGGAAGAAGTGGCCTGCCCGCAGGAGCAGCTGGCCGTGGCACAGACCGAGGTCATCGTGGACATGAAGAGCACCTCCAGCATCGACAGCTTCACCAGCTGTGCCACCGACTTCACCGAGACCGAGAGGTCGCCCCTGCCACCGCCCTCTGCTTCTCACTTGCAGATGAAGTTCCCACCTGACCTCACAGGGACAGAAGAGCACCAAAGAGCCAGGGGCCCCCCCTCTCTAACACTGACCAGAGAGAAAGGGGCTGCGGCCAGGGATGCCACCCTGGAATATACTCCAATTGACATAACTGTGAACCTCGATGCCACTGGTCCCCAAAGTGGGCTGCATGGCCCTGTACAGGCTGACAATGCCTCCGACAGCCCTAAGAGCTCGCTGAAAGGCAGCAACCCACTCAAATCCAGATCGCTCAAAGTGAACTTTAAGGAAAACAGAGGCAGTGCCCCACAGACCCCGCCCAGCACAGCCAGGCCACTGCCCGTCACCACCGCTGACTTTTCCCTCACCGCCCCGCAGCTCATCAGTACCATCCTCTTAGAAGAAACCCCCGCCCGGGGAGATAGACCCTTGCTGGGCGCTGAGGTTTCGGCGCGTTGTCAGGGACCTTCCAAAGGGCTGACCCCTCGGTTTCCCAAGCAGAAACTCTTTCCTTGCTCATCCAGAGAGAGGAGGAGCTTCACGGAAATAGACACTGGCGAAGACGATGACTTCTTAGAGCTCCAAGGGACAAGACAGGACAAGCAGGCAGACTCCAGCCCAAACTGCTTTGCAGATAAATCTAGTGACGGAAGAGACCCTTTAAGAGAAGAGGCCTGTGTGGGCTCTTCCTCCCCCCAGGACACAAGTCACAACTGTAGGCAAGACATTTACCATGCTGTGGCTGAAGTAACAAAGGACAATAGTCAAGAAGGGTGCAAGATGGAAAACCACTTGTTTGCCCCAGAAATTCATTCCAACCCAGGAGACACAGGTTATTGTCCCACACGTGAAACCAGCATGTAACTAGTTACAAAAGCAATAAAAAAAAAAACTTGTTTCTTAAAAATGCAGTTAAAGATGCCTGTGAACTAAAAAATGGGAAGCCCCCCCAAAAAGTGCATAAAATGTTATTTTTGCATGGCATGAACAGTTTAGTTTAAGTACTGTTTAAATAAAGAGTCAAGACTGACTGCATTTTGTAACAAACAAACAAAAATGACTGAAGAACGTGAAAAATAAAGAGAGCTCTATTAGGAACCAGTATTCTGCAATGTCTGACATTTTTGATCCTTTTATTTCAAATTGTACACCGATTTTCAACTTTTAACTTTTCTGTTACAATGAATTTTAGAATTTGCACATGAAAGGATAAAATGTCATTGCATGCATTCATAATTATGAGGAGCAAGGTGCTTTGAGCTTGCAAAATGCATAACTTTGTAAATAATGGGGCCTGGGATGCAAAAGTGTCAAGAACATGGAAACAAGTTTCTGAGACACAGGTACTTCCTTCAACGCTACTGGCTGGAGGAGCTGTACAGACTTCTTGTTGCAAAATTGCAACCTCTTCTTAAACCATCTCACATATTTCGCTTTGGGTTATAAAGCTCTTACAAGTACATTTGTTTAAAGGAATACAGTATTTTTATTTACTTGTGATATAATTCATAGGGTGCATTTTTCTTTTTTGCCTCTGCTTAGTTGTGGCATTTGTGGTTTTATTTATAAATCATAAAAATAGGCAAGATTTAATGACCAGATATCAAAAAATTTGGAATTTAAGCTTGAAATTTTGCCAATCGTATATCATGCCATAGCCTATTATAGAAATGCATTTTTTTAAAAACCTGAAAATATTTAAAAGATTATGTCATACAACTAAAATTTTTTTTTAAATGACACTCCACATTTGGAAATTAGTTTTTTTTAAAAAAAGATTGTATGTTGGCCATCTAAAGATAACTGTATTTTCCATTTGTGTGCAACGTAACCTTTTCTATCTAGAGATCTGAAGATAGAATGCACATATGCCAAAATGGGAATTCCAGAAAGTGACTTTTGACAAACTAAAAGCAGAGCTATTTAAGTGAGACTGACACCCCTCTCATAGATAAGAGTTGGGTTCAGAAATGAGTTACCATAAAAAAAGCCCTGGTAATGAGTCACCCAGTCTTTCCCAATGGGGGAGGTAACACTGCCACTTGGGGAGGGGCACAGGTGCCAGTCACACCCTCCAGTAATTGCAGCAACTAGAAACACCCCCTCACATTTCCAACGTCCCCAAGGAGTGGTCAGGGCTACCTTTGTTGAAAGCCACTTCCAGCATTTTCCACTGAGAACAGTGAATCCAGAAAGTTAAGGCACTTGCTGGTGGCTGCTCTGTTGGTGAAGTCTGTACTAGAACCCAGGTCATTTGAATCTACTTTGCTTCACAGGAAATCAAGGCTCTCGCTCCAGATGTGTGATCCTGGATGAGCCTCGAAAACCTCTCTTGGTCTCAGTTTTGCCCCTAAAAAAATCCAAGACAAAATTATTTCTCAGCTCCTTTAAGCCTCCAAATTAATATGATTCCTTGGTCTCTCAGGAATGTCCAAGTTTTGCCGCAGCATAATGTGTATTGTACGTGTGTGTGTGTGTGTGTGTGTGTAGTTCAGGGAAATAGTTGGGGAAATTCTGGGCCAAATTTAAAGCACAACTTTTTGTTTAAAGAAAAAAAAAAAAATTCTAAGTTTTATTCTATTTTTAAAAAAGCACTGGAAAAAGACAACCCAAATATTTAGAATCTAACTTAAGACTTTAAGGAATGACATTTCTTTATTAACAGAATCTGGTCATTATATCTCAGATAAAATAACAAGTTTTGATCTTAGTTGAAATCCAAGCAGCTCTACTGTGAAAAGTAATTTTAAATATTTCTTTTTTACTGTGCTTAGAATTTCTTAATGGTTTTCATGTTTGTTTCAAAACATAACCTTTAAGAGTTTATGGTCATTAATCATTGATATTTACATTACTGATACTTATTTCAGTGTCTAAAACTAAATGTTGATCAGTTTTTGTAAATCTAGAGTGTTTGCATTTTCTATATATAGATTTTCAAGTTAAACAGGTATATCTGCTGTTAGATGAATAGCAAATAAGTTATGAAAATTATTTGCTCTATTTAGTCGTATGAAGCAATTATTTTCTTAATGTCTCTATAGTGTTGTATTTTTTTTATTTATCTGTCTGCACAAATGGACTTGTCTTATTTCCCTGAGTGTCCACTGATGCCCATCTTTCATGTGTCCATTAGGCCTTCTGCTGAGAACCCTGCTCCAGAATGCTTAATATTATAAATCTTACCTGGATAAGAAATCCTAGACGTTCCTCCCGTGGAAGCATTCCCCCTAAAAATGTTTTCTCTTTTAATATTTTTTAAGTGTTACGGAATTTTCCAGAACATATTATAGAAAGTTTAACTTTCAATTCTTCTTTGTCCCTCAGAGCCAAAAGTCTTTAGCTAGAAAAAAATTCAATACTCTTCTAAAAAAAAACTTTTTTGGTGTTTTGGTGTTTCACAGGGAGACAGTTTGGGAACAAGGGCTCCCAGAATGCACTTGTGCAGCGCTTCCTAAACCTTTTCAATGAACTGCACCTAACGCAGAGAATGAAGGTGTATGCCTAGGATGGTCTGGGAATATACCAAGCACAGAGTTCTTTTGAAGTCTTACGTTTTACATTAAAAATTCATGTAAATGCTGCATTTTACTCCATGACATATGTTCCAATATAAAAGAAATGATGTTTTATATTACCTATCAACTATTAAAATTAATATTCTTATAACTTTAAATACCACTTTTGTACCCCCTGGAAAACATATCCCCAGTTTGAGAAGCACTGTGTGAATGGCAGGAACATAGCTTGGTTCCCGAAGGGCGTCGGACGTTCCTGCTGCTGGGAGAGCGGATTCATGGTAACCGAGCTCAGTGACCAGGAACAAACATCAATGAGTAAAGACTTTGAATGAACTCAAAATAACACAGTCTCAGGAATGGTTAATTTCATTAATCTGGCTATCTTAACAGCTAGTGCAAATTGCTGCAAGATTGTTTTAGCTCAAAGATTGAGATCAATCATAAAAGGGTAGAAATGAGTGTATGGATAAATGTCTTGGTTGGATCACAAAGACAAGAGTGGCATACTAAATGGGTCCCTGGAGTTGACCTAATTAGTCTCTAAACATTTCCACTAGAAATTTCTCCACTCTGGCACAACCGACCGCTTTGAAGCAAGTGTTTAGATCAAGCATTATCCTGATATGACTAGATTTGGTAACAAGGAGAATATGTGCCAAGAGTCTGTTCCCATTAATTTCTTGTCAAAACATTCTCACTCTCATCTAGATACAGGCTGAGGAAAGTCAACAATTCATTTATTTTCTCTTGGAATATGAATAGCAAAAAAAAAAAAAAAATCCTTATGTGAGTAGAGTACTTTATAGTTTGTTCTTGTACTTAATCCTCACTACAGGCTTCTGCATTAGGCATTATTTATCAATAAAGGACCAGAGATGTTATATATTTTGCTCACGTACACAGGCCACTGGTGAAGAGTAGAACTGGCCTCATCCACGTCGTCTGGCTTCAAGTCTGGCATTCCAGTATAGGGTTGAGTTAGGGTTTTTTCTTTCTATTAATATTCGCAATTATGTAAATAAAACTGGAGGTGCATTTATAGTCATGCAGTTTGTCTAAAGCAGCAGTGGATCATGCCAGATGGTCATGACTGAAGATAAATGACATTGACCATCTTTAGCACAATTTTTGCCAATTTAAAATTCCGGTCATAATGCACACATGTTGGGGTTAAAGAAAAGAATTCATAGCTCATGATGTAACATGACATACATATCAGGCAGAGGGCTGAAGGAAGCCACTTGTTTTCTGAAACAAAAACAGGTAGAACTTTAGAACTTTAAAACTTGTAGTCTAAGTTCAAAAGTATGGTCTAATTGAATTTGATTGTCATTTCACTGTTCATTCAGTCAGCAGATACGAGGTAAGCACTCCTATATCTAAATAATAGATATTCACCCCTAGTATCTAAATACTAGATATTCACCCCTAAAAACTAGGTAAGCACCCCTAAATTCTATAGAAGGCACTGTGTTTGGTGCTAGGGTACAGCCCCCAGCCTCATGGAGCTTCCTGCTTGGCCCATTTAAAACCAGGCTGAGGACCATTTGGGCTACAGAAAAATGCCTCTTCTGAGTATGGAAAAATCACTCAATTATCAAACCAGGGAAGCATAGGACAGGAACAAGTGAAATGCTTTTCCAATGAACTTTTTTCCTAAGAAATAGGTGGATGGTATAAATGAAAGTCTGTTCCATAATTATTTTTGAATCACAGTTTAGATTTATGATTGAGATAACAAATTGTTAGTCTGATTGAGTGAGGTGATGTGTTGTCTTTCCTTATGATGTGATAAATTGAAAAATAATTTTTCAGTTAGATATGTTGCTTGTCAAAATAGCTAATAATAGTCTATCACTAATAACTAGAGCAACATGTGAAACCAGTGAAAAAGTCTATAACAAATTTTATATTTTAATAGTGTATTGATGGTTATATGGTTCAAAACAAAGCATATTAATGGTTTTTCTTACTTCCTATTAACTAGAGTTAACATTTTAGCAATGTATCAGTATTCTCTGTTTAGTCCTCTGAATTTCTACGTGGAAGATATTTAAAATTCAGTATTCAAAAAGTGTTTAGCTTAACTCAAGGGATTTATTCACTCGGTCCATGTGAATTTGAAAATATATCGAGTATTTTTCCACTGCCACTGTCCTCACCCAAAAAGAACCAAAAAAAAAGAAAAGAAAAAGAAGACTGTACAAAATCTACATAAAAAATGGAAACGTTCAAAGGCTCATCCCTAATAAGAAAGAAAAGTCCCAACTCCGAAATCTTGGTAAACATTCTATATCATTGAAGTTAGTGCTTATTGTAATATAATGCTAACCTTGAGTGATTTCAAAAGCATTTCTTCTACTTGCCTTTTTAAAACAGCTTAATTGCCTAAATCCTTATTTATCATTGCCATTAATGCACAATCTCTTCCTTATTAAGTCTAAAAGGGTTTTAACCTGTAAATATACATATAAATAAAGGCAGGTGGCAGGATTCTCTTTAATAAGACAACATAAGGCAAGCAAAAGATACAAGTACAAAAAAAAAGGAAGGGAGTCTAAGAAATCTGTGAGTAGATTAAAA